GGTAAACTATGGGGTGGGTTTGTCATAAGAAGCAGCCTGCAGGTTTCCTCTCTGTGCTGTTGGAAAACTGGGTGCAATGCTGGATCCTTTTGAGGGTGTGCTCCCGCCCACCTGAAAGCGTCTGGGCTGTGCAGTGAGGGCAGGATCAGGGTGAAGAGGAGAGATACGTGAAAAATGAAAAGTGATAGATGGAAAATCAGTCACACCTCTCTCTTCAGATGTGCTGCTCCATGGCTTCTAGTGCTGGATAGCTGCCTCAGCTTGGCTGTGACCCCATTGCCCGTGTGGAGGCTGGATGAATTCAGAAATCACCATATTTTGTTTCCACAGACAAGTTTCTTCTCAATGGGCATTGGGTACTGGCGCCCGGGACCGTAAACAAGATCCAAAGCTCTACAATTTTTCTGCAGATCACTCTTTCTCTGCTTTTTTGGGGCATTTTGGTAGAGGAATTTTCACTGCTTGTTTCTGCTTTCCCTGCCCCCAAATCGGAAGTCTCCTTGTTGGGAGTTTTTAATGAGCTGATCGTTTCTTCTTTTGTTATAGGTCTGTACAAGTTTTTACTTCATTCTGTGTTAGTTTAGGTAGGTCGTGTTTTTCTAAAAATTCATGCATTTAGCCTAGATTTTCAGATTTATTAGAGGGCAATAAGTAGCACAAAGGGATATGACTTATTGGTGGAAATAAAGGGGCAAAAAGATTTTTATTTGATTTCTTGTACCCCACATTACTCTGGTGACCAGAGGAGTGACCAGCCCCCATCCTTGTACACTCCTGGGGAAGTTCCTGCTCTCTGGGTTTTGAGGTCAGATTGAACCCCAGGACCTGGAATCAGGTGTGACGTATTCTAGACCCACAGAGCCAGTTCTGGTCAGTGCTGGACTAGAGGGACCCCTTACTCTCAACTTCCCTCTGGGATGGAAATACGTTGATTCCCCAGCTGTCCTGGGGTCTGCACAAACTACTTCCAGATTGGGTGTTCAGAATAGACAATACCTTGTTCTACAGATTTGGCACAGTGGTATAAGCACTTGACCTCAAGGTCAGTTTGAACCGCAAGGTCAATAGTTCAAACTCATCAGCTGTGTGTCAGAAACCCCATACAGAGTTGCTACAAGTTGGAACCTACTCGATGGCACTTAACAACAACAACAATCCTACAGGCACTACATCTAGGGTTGAGTGTTATTATTTCATCCCTTACCCACTGTTACCTGCCCTGCTTTGCTTTTTCCTTTCATTATTTTTGTTCATTTATTCTTTTTCCTTTGCCTTTCTTTCTCTTGCTTTCTAAACTTTTGATCTCCCCTTTTATCTTTTCTGCTTATTTTGGGGGGGGAGGGGGAGCTGTTTCTCTTTCCCAACTGCTTCTGCTTCTTTCTTTCTACTGTATTTTCTTTTTGTTTTAATCCCTCCTTGCTTTTGCTTTTTGTTTGTGTGTGTGTTTGGGTTTACTACTTTCTGGCTTCTTTCCTTTTCACTTTTTCTTTCTTATAGTTCTTTCTCTTTTATTTTTCTCTTTTTATTATTTATTTTCCTCTCCCTTGTTTTGCTCTTTGGTTTTTGTATGCTTTTTCTATATGTTGCCTGGTTTATTCTTTATTATTTTTTTGTTTGCTGGTTTGTGTTAGCTTTCCTTTCCTTCTTATTTGTGTGTGTGTGTTTTCTTCTTGCCTCACTCAACAGAAGACAGAAACCTCATCCATTATAGACCCACCCACTGGGCAAGAGCTATCCACCAGATCAATGACAACAAGTAATACCAGCTAAATTCAGCCTGAATTGAGCTGCACAAACAGCAAACAGAGAACATGGCACAAGCTCATCTCCTGATCACACCCAACCAGGAGGAAGTTGGTGAGTGCCTAAGAACACACCAACATACAATCATCAACTTAATACAAATCCAGTAACACTACAATGTTTCAAAAGCAGCAATTTCTGTTCGCACAAAACAACAAGATAGGGTGACTCAACCAAGTGAACAAAAGGTAGAGCTAGAAAACATTTTTGTGGAAAAACAGGCGTTGAAAATATCTGAGAGAGAATTCAAGAATATGTTTGTAGGTACCTGTGGTACTGTGGGTTAATGTGCTAGACTGCAAGGTTGGTTTGAACCACAAGGTCGGTAGTTCAAGCTCACCAGCCACGCCTTGGAAACCCTATACAGGGTCGCTATGAGTTGGAACCAACTCGATGGTACTTAATAACAACAATATGATGACTGAAAGGTTGGGGACAACAAAGAAGAATTTATGGAAGCATTACAGAAACAATCAAACAAATTTGATAAAGGATTGGAGATAATACAATAATGGCATATAGTTGCCATTGTTATTGTTGTTGTTAATTGCTATCGAGTCAGTTCTGACTTCTAGCAACCCTGTATAGGGTTTCCCAGGAACAGTTGGTGAGTTTGAACTGCTGAACTTGTGGTTAGCAGTCCAGTGCTTACAGTGCCTACAGTGTCATACTAGCACTACATATATATATATATGTATGTGTGTATGTAATATATTTAGGAATATGCGGTACAAAAAAATCTCTTTAGAGAAAGATCACCAGATAATCTTCAGATGTTTAGAGGAAGATTTGTACAAGGAAGATAGAATTCAAGGGAAAACGGCCGTAACTTATTTTATTGCTTCTTTGGTGAAGTTATTTACCGAGTACATAAAAAGTAAAGCATCAGGCCTGGGAGCGTGTCCATTGCACGTGCACCGTGCAATCGTAGTGCCGGGGTGACCGCTTCTGGCAGGAGTCTTGGTGATTAGCCTTAGGCTCCTGCCCGCAGCCAATCATTGCGTGCTACCTGGGCGGCCGAAGGTCGGGCCGATGGCATGAACTGCAGCAACTTGGAGATAAGTGCCTTGCAGCGCTTGGGCAACTCGAGACCGTCGGGATAAAGCACGCCACGACTCTGGAGCAGAGGCATGCTAGCGATGTCCGAGTCGTCAAAGGGTATGGACCCGATGACCATGAAGTACAACACAACACCCAGGCTCCACATGTCATACTTCTTGGGGTCGTAGGGGATGTTCAGCAGCACCTCCGGCGACACGTAGGCAGCCGAGCCGCAGAAGGTGGTACTCAAGTCGGGGTAACCGTGCGCCTCGCGGCCGAAGCTAAAGTCTGTGATCTTGACATAGTGTTCATCCGCGCTAAGCAACACGTTCTCACACTTGATGTCGCGGTGCACTAGGTGGTGGTTGTGCAGGTAGTGCACGGCGCCCACGATTTGCGCGAAGAGGTCGCGCGCCTGCTCTCCGGGAATCCGCCCATTGCGATGTACTACCTGTAGCAGGTCGGTGGCGGCTGCCTCCATCACGATGTACAGCTTTCCATTGCACATCTCGATGAACTCGAAGACGTTCACTATATGCGGGTGGCGCACACCCCGCAGGATGGACAACTCGCGAGGCAGGAACTTATCGACGAATTCAGGCGGTGCGCGCCTCCGGTCCACCACCTTGATGGCCACTGTGCCCTTGTGCTTTGTGGACGTGGCCACCTTCACCTTGGAGAAGCTGCCCTCTCCGATCGTGCGGCCCATCTTATAGCCGAGTTCACTCAGGAGTTTATTGCCCGACATGGTGGCACTCGGGGCGCGTGGGGAGCAGGAGGCGGCTGCTGCCGGGGGGCGGCCAGACTCCGATCTCGAGCCTAACTTAGGCACCTGCACCCCCACACCCTCAAGTGCCCACTCCCCGCCGCCAAGGTGCTTCTTATTGCCACGGTAACAGTTTCGGCCTTGTGACGTGATTGCTGGCGTCACCCCGCTGCAGGCGCCCAAGCCTCTCAAGCTCTGTGATTCATAAGTACCCAGATCGACCCAGTTCTGGAGAAGGAACTCCCCAGCCGGGTGTTCGGACCACGTTGGTGAGTGGAATCTACGTCTGGCATCTGGACGGCTCTTGTGAGTCTGACCTGGGCTAGCTAGCTACCCTACTCCTAGTCGCAGCCGGTGGCCATGTGGAGTCCTGGGCTGTATGCACACTCTCTAACTAAGATGGAAGAAACTGGAGAGGGGGCTCCTTCAGGCGGGGCTGGGGGAGCAGCTCTCGAGCTTCCTAACTTTCCACATTGCACCCCTAAGGGAAGGTGACTGCGAGGTCTTTTAGTGCCGTGACTAGGGCGCACCAACGCCCGGTCTGGGAGAAGAGGAAGTAAAGCGCCCTCAGCCACGCCACAGGAGCCAAACCGTGCAGCGAGTCGGGGAACTGCATGAGTGCTCCTGTTCCCAGAGCCAAGTCGGAAACTGTTCGGGTCTTAGTCAACACTCATCATGGCGGTGACGACTGCCCTTTAAGTAACTTCTGCCCTCGGCCTGAAGTGAAGAACCCTGCAAGCATGGTGGCATCGAAGGTGAAGCAGGACATGCCCTCACCAGGGCTGCTATGGCCCCATCGAATACAAGCGGTCGAATACAAGCGGAACCTGCCCCGTTGGGGATTGTCGGGTCAGTGTCGCCCTGTGCTGGGGTGTCTGGGTCTTGGGCTGTTGGGTCGTCGCGACAAGGGCGAAATGGCGAGCGAGCCCCAATTTCCCAGGCTGTGCAGCGAGAGACTTGAGTCCCGGATCCCCCATAACTTCAGTAATAATAATATTCCTCCACCACTCTCTGCGGTCGACTTGATTCTGACTCACAGCGGCCTGCCAGGGCAGAGTAAAACGGCTCCATAAAGTTTCTGAGGCTGTAAGTCATTTCGCAGCTGGCCGCATTGTTCTCCCGCTGAGCCAGTGTTGGGCTGGAACCGGCGACTTTTCCGTTTGCAGCTCACTGCGCCACCAGGCTACAGCATGTTTGCTGTGGGCATTGGGACTCCGCTCTTTGGGTATTGGAGGATGATGAAGTGGAACCGAGAGCGCAGGTGGCTACAGATCGAGGACCTAGAGGCCCACATCGCCCTGGTGCCGTTGTTCCAGGCTGAGAAGGACCGGAGAGCCCTGCAGATGCTGCGGGAGAACTTGGAGGAGGAGGCCATCGTCATGAAGGATGTGCCTGACTGGAAGGTGGGCAAGTCCATGTTCCATACGACACACTGGGTGACCCCACGGTGGGTGAGCTCTATGGACTGCGCACAGATGAGGAGCTTGTCAATGCCAACTATGGCTTCGTGTTGTACACGTAGGAGCTGCTGCCACCCCTCCCTACTCCCATGAAGAGAATAAAGGCTCTGGGAACTGAAAACAAAAAGCATCAAAGGCAACTGTCTTGAGAAATTTAAATATATGTGACTGCGTATGTTTACATTGAAGAAGAACGTTGACAGAAATAAATCACTTTTAGAGAGAATTCCCAGGAGCCGATCCCTTTTAGGAGGGCCCTCCTGGTCCTGGTGCCAATACATGGCTCTTTAAAGTTCTAGCCCACATCATTTATGGGTTTATGTCTGTATCCCTCTGTTTATTTTTGGTATAAAAATCCTTGCTTATGGTTACTACATAACCCTGATCCGTTTTGCCCAACTTTAAGAGTTCTTACTAAAGAACATAAACCAAAGTCAGAGGTAATTTAATTAACATCGTGAACAGACAAAGGTATTCTTGCTTCTCAGCTGTAAGGCACAGCACGGTCCCGTAAATTAGGGCAGTAATTGCACCACTTGTACACATTCTTAAAAATTTCATGAATCTCAAAGCCAAATTCTAGCTTGAGAGGTTTCTTTGCCTCTGGAGAATAAACTGAAATCAAAATCTGAAGTCAAATAGCTCAACTCTTTGTCCAACTCCACAAAACTGAAAAACAAAAAACACCACCTTCCATTCAGAGACACATGCCTCTGTGCACATGGAATTCATCACTGAGCCCTGTGGGTGCTAGCTCAGAAACATTTTTTGAATTTGTTTATTTCAGCCCATTTTTCTTGCCCTTGCTTAAGTTCAGGAAACCTTCTTTTCTTGTCTGTAACAGCAGCAGGGGTCTCGTACTGGTTCTCTCTACCTCAAAATTGTCCCTACTAGTCTTTTCCAGGAGCCCTGGTGGTACAGTTCTAAGCATTCAGCTTCTGTCTGAAAGACCAGTAGTTTAAGCCCACCAGTCACTCTTTGAGAGAAAGCTGTGGCAGTTTGCTTCTGTAAACATTACATCCTAGGAAACCCTCTTGGACAGTTCTACTATGTCTTATAGGGTTGCTATGAATCAGAATTGACTTGATAGCAACGTTGTTTTGTTTTGTTTTGTTTTATCTCAAGGAAAGAAGCCCTGGTGGTCGTTGAAACCCACCAGCAGCTCTATTCCCTGTGGGTCTACTCCTGTAAAGCTGGCTGAGGAAACTCCATTGAGCAGCTCTCCTCTGTCCTATATATAGCATCACTGTAAGTCAGAAGCAACTCAGTGGCACACCGCACCGAAGTCTCTTCTCCATTCTGCGTAGAGTAATCCTTATAATACCATTAAATCACACCAAGAAGAATGCTGCCTCTCAACTTCAGCATCACTTTCCAGGCTGCCCTGGTTTCAGCCCCTTGACTTTGTACTCCCAAAGCCTCTGCACTAATTCTTCTGTTGTAAGAATTCCTACACTTTATTGCAACTCCTTGCCTTGTTTGCTTTCTCAATAGATCATAACTTGTGTGAAGATAGGGACCATGCTTGCCTTGTATACCCCACAATGCTTGGATTCGAGCCCAGTGTGGACTCTCAGCATATGAAGGAATTCATCACAACTCTCAGCAATTACAGCACTTCTTAGCCAAGGCATGGACTAGCACTCTCTCGTGGGCTCATACACTCTCTCATGCACCAGCCTTGATGGCTGGAATGGAAAGTTCTCTAAGGTGACTTGTCCCAACAGGTTTTATTTTACTAGTGAAAATAGTACATTTCTCCCCAGTGGGTGTATCTAGGGAAAATTGACTGCACCTATTTAATTTAGTTTAAACTTGCTGAATGATCTCCAACTCAAAACTGTGATGGTTAATAGAAACTGTCCAATGGTACCCTCTCCAGTGGTGACCAGGGCATGCGCCACCAACTTGTCATACTGTAGGTATGCTTCTGGAACTAAAGTACCAACTTAAATTCTTTCTCTTGACTTTGATGCAAATGCTGGAAATGAGATTTAAAAAAAAAACTTAATTGTGTTTAATGTGAGAGTTTGCAAATATACTTAGTCTCTATTTAACAATTTGTACACAAATTATTCAGTGATAATTTTCACAATATAGCATCATTCTCATTCTGTCTGTCTGGTTGGACCAGTTCCAGGACTCTAGTTTCCCTGCCCCCTTACCATCTTTACTTTAGAGTCATTTTTGACCATTTGCTTTCCTATAATTGATTTTTGTATAAAGAAACACATTACCGATGGGTGATATTCTTTATTTTACGTGTGAATTTGTTATAGCTAACAAATGACCACAAAGGAAAATTATGGTGTAGGGTTTAAAGCGTATCTAGGGTGATAGTCTTGGGGAGTCATCTAGTCTCAACTGGTCCAGTAAACCTGAATATTTTTATTTTAGGCATATGTTATAATATCTAAATATGATATGACATATAATGACAATATAAAATGTTATCTAAAAACCTGCATATATGTGGAATAGGATGTGACATTGGTTTCCTTAACTATTAACATGTTAGGTGACCACTCATGCATTTTTCTTATTTCATCCTTTAATACCTTATTTATAGACTTGTCCCCAGGGCTGAAAAAGTTGGCTTGGTTTAGGCTAGAAGACTGTGAAATAGAGAGAAAAATTGCATGTGTCTTTCTGTGTATATTTATAGATATATCTGAGAGTTGATTAATGACTAACACTAGTGATAAAAACAAAACAAACCACTTGGGAGTTCCTGAAGGGGAGGTTTATGCATAGCTCGATTAGAAAGAACCATCCCTGTTGCTCAGATTATTGGACTGTGATGGCTTGCATGTTGCTGCGATGCTGGAAGCTAAGGCACTGGTATTGCAAATACCAGCAGGGTCAGTCATGGTCGACAGGTTTCCGTGGAGCTTGTAGACGAAGGCCTGTCAGCCAGCTTCTAGAATTAAGCAATGGAAACCTTATGGATCACAGGAGAACACTGTCCAATATAGTCCTGGAAAATGCACCCCTCAGGTTGCAAGGTACTACACAATAGCCACAACAACAAACTCAATCATACCAACAATCATGAAGATGTCTGTTATCAATAAGATTATCATGAGCCAGAGCTGACTCAGTGGCAACTCACAGTAACACCGTGAAGGAAACTGAATTGGCATTTCAAATGAAATCTCATGTCTTTATTAAGTGTCCAAATAAGAGTAGTGTTAAATTAGACTGGGTCTCCGATATGAGAAACAGTAGAAATAAATGCAATTCTCCTTACAGAGATCAAAACAAGCATTCCTTTAACTGTGAGGATGATCTGACTGCCACATCTGTCACCCCACTGATCAACAGGGTTGATTCAACTGATCTGGCTGGCTAGAAAGGTGCCCCTTTCTGCCTTACTGTTCCATGTGCATCCCTTCTGAAGTCGCATGCTCAGTTGAAGTGGGCGACCTTCCCTGATTAAGGAGAACTGTCCTACTGTCAAGGGTATACGAGTAACTGCACTCCCCTACTAGAACCTCCATACAAACTCTCAAGGTCCACTTA